CACGCGGGCCTCTCACTGTTGTGGCCTCTCCCGCTACGGAGCACAGGCTCCGGACGCGCAGGTTCAGCGGCCATGGCTCACGGGCCCAGCTGCTCCGCGGCATGTGGGATCCTCCTGGACCGGGGCACGAACCCATGTCCCCTGCGTCGGCAGGCGGACTCTCAACCACTGCGCCACCACGGAAATCCCCGCTTAGTTGTCTTTAAATTCATTCGAAACAATTTTGTTAGATTGTATTGTGACAGCTGTCATATTGGCGTGCGTTGAAGAAAAGCTTATGAAAATTGGTGAATTTTTGTGTAGCCATTTTAATATTGAAGATGGAAGAAAAACAACATTTTCAGAATATTATGCTTTATTATTTCAAGAAAGGTAAAAATGCAACTGAAACTCAAAAGAAGATTTGTGCAGTGTATGGATAAGGTGCTGTGACTGATTGAACGTGTCAAAAGTGGTTTGCAAAGTTTTGTGTTGGAGATATCTTGCTGGACGATGCTCCGCGGTCAGACCAGTTGAAGTTGATAGCGATCAAATCCAGACACTGAGAACAAACAACATTATACTATGTGTTGAAAATCATTTGCACCAGCTTGGTTATGTTAATCACTTTGATGTTTGGGTTCCACATAGGTTAAGCAAAAAAAGCCTTCTTGACCATATTTCCGCATGCCATGCTCTACTGAAACGTAATGAAAACGCTGTTTTTTTTGTTTGTTTGTTTTTTGTTTTTGGCTGCGTTGGGTCTTCGTTGCTGCGTGTGGGCTTTTTCTCTAGTTGTGGTGAGCGGGGGCTACTCTTCATTGCAGTGGCTTCTCTTGTGGAGCACGGGCTCTAGGTTCAGGGCTTCAGTAGTTGTGGCTCGCGGGCTCTAGAGCACAGGCTTAGTAGTTGTGGCGCACCGAAAATGTTCCATTTTTAAAACAAATTGTGATGGGTGATGAAAAGTGGATACTGTACAATAATGTGGAAAGGAAGAGATGGTGGGGCAAGCGAAATGAACCACCACCAAGCACCTCAAAGGCTGGTCTTCATCCAAAGAAGGTGATGTTTTGTATATGGTGGGGTTGGAAGGGAGTCCTCTACTATGAGCTCCTTCTGGAAAACCAAACAATTCCAACAAGTACTGCGCCTAATTAGACCAACTGAAAGCAGCACTCCACGAAAAGCGTCTGGAGTTAGTCAGCAGAAAACACATAATCTTCCATAAGGATAACACAAAAACGCAGGCAAAAACTGTTTCAGCTTGGCTGGGAAGTTCTGATTCATCCGCTGTGTTCACCAGACATTGCACCTTCAGATTTCCATTTATTTCGGTCTTTACAAAATTCTCTTAATGGAAAAAATTTCAATTCCCTGGAAGAATGTAAAAGGCATCTGGAATAGTTCTTTGCTCAAAAGGATAAAAAATTTGGGGAAGATGGAATTATGAAGTTGCCTGAAAAATGGCAGAAGGTAGGGGAGCAAAATGGTGAATACGTTGTTCAATAAAGTTCTTGGTGAAAATGAAAAATGTGTCTTTTATTTTTACTTTAAAACAGAAGGAACTTTTTGGCCAACCCAATAATTAGGTTGTTAAGGTGGAGCCTTCATAAATAGAAGTAGATGAGATGTCTACTTATAAGAAGAGATGTCTTGCTGGGCCACATGAGGACACAACAAGAAGAAGGCCATCCGCAAACCAGGAGGAGAGCTCTCACCAGACACCATATCTGCTACCACTTTGGTCTTGGACTTCCCAGTATCCGAAACTGAGAAATGAATGTTTAAGCCACCCAGTTTATGGTA